GTGATGAAACAACAATTTTCGTTTTTTTCATATTTGGACGTGAAACTGCTAAGCCACCTATTTTTGCATTAAAAGACATTTCAAAACACATCTGATCACAATTCAGGTTAGGCTATATTTTTCAACCTTCAAATGTTTCGGTTTTTCTTTTTTTATTTAATCATCCCGCTGTTTTGTTAGAAAAGATGAAAACTTCGTCCAAGATACTCGCATCATTGCCGATTCAAGCAACTTGCAGAAAGCAAGTGACATAAGAACCTAGAAATGGCCTTGCTCATCACGGAGTTCTCTGTGCAAATCCCTTATTCGATATGAAAAAACCCTTTAACCCCTAAGAGTGACTAGCATCTAATTTCTCCTAACAATATCACCCCTAAATCACACATTAAGGTCATGAGAATAAAGATAATGGTCAATTAGGTGATGTTAGGTTGAAAAGAGTTGACGGCCACGACACACGAGCTCAAGATTTACCACCTTTCTTATTCTGGGCAAAAAAAGTTTGTTTCACTAGATGCGCACAGCGACGAAAGAGTTGGAACATAAAACAGCTTCAAGCAAAGATTCTTAATAAGATAAAAAGTACCTTTTCCCCAAAAGTCTTTGCACTGTGTGTCGTGTAAGGGGCATTTGCCTTTGAAGCAGTATCCCTTAAAAGAGCAAAACAGCATATCAATTGATGAAGACATGAATATCTTGAACAACAGCAAGTCGAATTCACGATAACGGAGAAGTGGCATCATGTTTTCTCACCTCGCCATTGGCACAAGTTGCACCATCCTGCACGTATTTATTGCTGGGACACTGAAAGACAAGTCGAAACATGGTACATTTTGGGTCCTATAGCTTACAAATCTACCCTACAGGTAGAACTGAAAGAGGCTGTTAGTGCCATTGATGACATACAAAATAAATAAATCTATCAAAGACCTGCTTATTCTCAACCTAAAATATTGAGTTCAAAGAAAGGAAGTGTTCTAATTCATTCATTTTATTCATCAGGAATATTGTGCCAGGCTGGCATTATTCAGCTGCAAGCTGGGTGTTCCAATAGCAATAATCATTATTGCCAGAGCAATAAGGTTCTTGCCCTGAAATACACTGGATGTAAACAAGGCAATTTTTCATGGATAAAGAACTACATTATGCTGAGTGGAAAGTACCTTGCTGATTAGATTTCAGTTTTAATTGACCAATCTTTACTTATGACAATACTTTTCACAATCAACCTGCTTTTAAAACTGCCATAGGCTCACACTGGAATATGATAAACTGTACCATCCATGGTTCAAAAAAAGGAAATGCAAAGCTATTGATTCACTTACCAATCCTGATTTTCCAGTACAAACTTCTGGTAAATCACATTCATTGATCGTGTCGCGACAGAGAAAACCTTGAGGTTTATGCTACAAGGAAATCAAAAGGGAGAATATTTTGTCAAATCAATGAATAAATTTTGAGAAAAAATTCAACATCAACCTTAAGGAATATATTCATAGGAAAAAATCAATTCAATTCACATTGCATTGTAAAAATAGATTGCCTGTGAATTGACAAAAACTTCCCAGTATCATTTAGTCTGCTTCTTACCATTATAATGGCAAGTCAAGGGATTTCCCTAGGTGGTGGTTGATGCAATTTAATCATAAGCAAAATAATTCCCTATGTGTTGATTTAAACTTACTTTACATTTGTCACAACATGGGCCAGAATCACATTCAGAGGCAGGATGAAGCTTGCAGGTTGTGGCATTACAACAATGATCACCATACTTTTCACACTCCTAACACATAACATAATCATAAACTTCCATTAAAAATTGACATGAACTACCTTATAACTATATTAACTACACGAGGTGCACATGTTGATAAAAAAAAAATCACTTTTGCTCTACAAGGTGTCTGTGGCACAAAAGGAAATTTCCACCAGACTTCAACAAAAAGAACTTAAGCAGAAGTAATAAGATATAGTCTACATTAGATTCAAGCAACCCATCCTGACATCAACAGATCCTCTGCCATAATATCAGAAAGCTAGGTTACCTTCAACAAAGTTTCACTAGGACTTGTTAAGCTACAAGAAGACAAAGCTACCACTAACCACGTGGCACACATTGAATTCAACTATGTTTAAATAATTATTTGGGTAAAAAATAGGTGGTTTGAGCCCATATGCAACTGATGTTTCAAAACCCAGACCTTCAGTAATCATCAAAGTCAGGAAAGGAATAGATATGCAGGCTGTACCTCTAGTGCTTTCCAAGCCTCCTAAGATCCTACTGGCTAGAGGTACAATACAATAGAAATTTCATCTTGGGGATCTTTCCAACCAGTAGCACTATGACAAAGGCATTATAGTGGTGACACTATCCATAAGTTTTGTTTACCTTTGGTCAGGAAAGGAGTTACTTGCTTATTGACTTTTTGTGAAAACTGATCAGCAAATTTTATCAAATTGAACAGAATGGCCTTGTAATCAACACATCAAACCTGGCCTACTGCAGCTCATGAACTGTTCTTAAAAAAAAAACAACAAAAAAACCGCCAATAGCACTACAGTCTGTACACCAAACTTGACTGATCAGTTTTCAACATCCAGGTGCATTACATTCCACTAACAAAAAACTCTTATTCACTCAACATTGATGATAAGTTCTGTTCAGATAACCAAATGTCAGTTGCTGCCATTGGCTACCACCTTTTTTTAGGCCTACCATTACCCCTAAAACTACACCACACAAATATATGGAAACAGCAATTTTGCTTCCAAATTGTTTGTATGCTGTACTGTACCTCTATGGTGCCACAGTCACATTCTTCACCCTCCTCTTTGAAGCCATTACCACACAATGCATCTCCAAACAACTACAAGTGCCAAAAAATACCACAGGTGATTCAGAATCTACTTGTTTAAAAATAATTGCAAGGAACTAATCTGACCCACTCTAACAACAAGGTAACACATTTACAGAGAGAACAGGTGTACCTATTGAGTTTAAGAAGCTAAGAGAGATTTGGTCAAAGACACCTTTCATAAATTTTTTGATTTGTTTCTTGAGTGACTGAAAATGTCACTAATCCCAAGGAAACCTCTCTAAACAAGTTAGTGCCATAGTTGTCCATTTTAATCTCAGAAGCTGTTATCAAAATAAGCTTACGTTTGATGGAGTGTTAAACAAACAGGCATCCAGGCCCCGCTTCAGGTATGTGTCAAATGAATCTTTGCTGCATGATGACCAGTCTGTTGAGGGTGTGTTCCTGTGTTAAATGAAAACTTGTTTTAGTATACACCATGCTACCACCTGTCTTCACTGGGAGTTCAATCATGAGACAAACAGTTCTCTTTCTTTCCCTTATGTTATGACTGATAAATGCCTGAGGCTAACTTTTCTTAAGGCAAGGTTAGAGTAGTTTCCAAAATGGGATGTGGGGGGCCCACAAAAGATTTGCAGGGCAATACCCTGGGCTCAGTTTGCCTCACTAATTTTCCTTCCCCTTCCACAGCATTTAGGTAAGCACTCATTCTACTAAAAGGTACAAGGGTAGTGCCCTTCAATATTGCATCTCATAATAAAAGGAGATGAACAGATACATTTACTCTAAAGAAGATGAGGTGTCCATAACTAAAAACAATTACCAAAGGGAATACATCACTACAGAGTTTGTATGGGGCTTTTGTTAATTCCCCTATGAAGTACACACTTGCACTAGCATGTATGGAAGATAAACCCCAAAATGTTTTGTCAAAAGGGGTTAACAACAACATCCTAACGACATACTTCTGACTCTGTCTCAGTCCCTAAATGAAAAAAATTCAGGAAAGACATACTTTGCTACAGAAGACATGATGCATCCTTGATTAGTTGGTGCATCACATTTACAACCTGGAACTGAATAGGAAAGACAACATATGTTAGTAAATTATCAACTTTAAATCCCTGGTAACAAACAATTACAATTTTTGAACAATCAGTTAAAAGGAAATGCCTCATAATAATTCCAGGTCTTGGGTTTTATTTTTGGGTAATTAAAAAAATATATAGCAATAAAGTACTGAAAGCTATTTTAGTAATTATATAAAATTAAACTTCTGTAATAGGGAATTGCAAAGGTGAAAAATTCACATTTTTATCTCACATTGCTTTGGTTGCAATGTGTAGTGTACCACAAAGTATATCAGGACTCCAAGATTTTTGTCAATACACTTACTGTCCTGATCATGAAGAAATCCAAAGTTGTGACCCATTTCATGAGCTAACGTTGCTGCTGTAGCTGCAGCACTGTCAGAATGATCCTTATTACAAAAAAACAAAACAACAAAGAAACTATCTGGTTAACACATAACATAAAGCAAGACAAAAATGTTTGAAAAAGCTTACCCCATTACTTTGTTGGGTATTGTGGTGCATTTTTTAGGCTAAAATGCTTGCACTTGTATGATTGTTCAGATTTTTATGTTGTCATTTTTTCATCAGTTTTTGTTTTCCCAATGCCCTCCAAAGTGATAATAATAGTAATTAATTAATTCAACCTTTTATAATTTATGCAAATTTATAAATAATGACATAACTTGCAAACATTAGAAGGAATTAATGACCACCTGACTGACCACCCAAAGATAGAAGATACCTTTTAATCCTTCTTATTTGAGCAAATAATTTATGTAAAAATCAGATTAATTTTAATGACATGTACCTGTACTACACCACCAGACCTCTCACCACACATGGCCAAAACTGAAGCCTTTCCAACAGTTGAACCTTTAAAATTTATCCTCCTGAAAGCAAAAGCACAATTATAATATTATCAAAAATACCTGTCTTCTCAATTTCCTCTTATTGGAAGAAATCTTCTAGATAGTACACCCTACTATGTAAATCTGTGGTTTTTTTTGACAAAAGCGCATCAGTACCACATTCAGACCTGAAACCCTATAAAACTTTCCTATGGTCTATCAAGGTTCATTCTTTTTGAGTCTTTTTAATCTCTCTCTAGAGAAAGAGCCAAAAAAGATAGCATCAAGTGGAGAATTCTAATTCTGAAAGGTCTCCTGTATTAACAGAAGAAACAGAAAAGTCACTCTCATCATCCCTATCAGCAATTTTTTCTGGTGCTTTCAATTTCCACTTGCATCTTAAGCCACAGGTTCCACTATTATGAACACCAGAACAAATTTTCATGCTAAATTTGTATGGAACAGTTGCTAGGTGACAAGCATGAATAGTGTTTAAAATCTTCTCTGATTGGTCTCCAGGCTCTTGCAACAAATGGACCACTGACAATGACAATAACATTACTTTTAAATGGCTGGATCACAGCAACTACAAAAGTGCCATATAGCACTCTTCAGATTTGGGCATAATAAAGGAGGAGTGCCATGGGACACTCATAGGGGGTTGTCCTAAAACACACTTATGTTGGTCACTGGTGTCTTGAAAATCTGAGAGCACTAAAACCTAGGCAACTCTTGCTGGAACTCAAACTACATATTAACAAGACATTGTACAAATTTCATTCCTGCACCAAATCCTTTAACACATACTGTATTTGTCATTAGTAACTCAAAGATTTTTATGTAGAGTGTTTGTTTATTACTTCCATGTTTTCATCATACTCACGTCAGCAGCTGTGCATTGTCATGTGGGTATTTTTTGACCAAATCTGAATTTCTGTATTTCATAAAGTTTTGTAAACTCTTGTCTGAATCTTCATCAACCATTATTTTATCGCCTTGGGTCCAAGTTTCCACTGCAGTCAGAGCTACACGTATCTTGAGAGGTCGGTACAACTTAAAGGCAAATTTAGTGTTAAATAGTTAGTAGCCTGCATTTGAATATGTAAAATTTTTCAGAACCTTACTGAAGTTACCCAAAGTTCTGTTTATCTTGAAAAAATTCAACTCCAAAGTATAGATGCCAATGCATCACCCAGGAGCCCCACTGAGATACAGAGCAAATCTCCTGATGTCCCAATTTGGATGTTAATTCTCTGACATTAAGGTAAAATTCGATCACTTTCCCCGATTGAACTAAACATTTTAACACATGATATATTCAGTCTGCTTTGTATGACCACTTTACAATTGCTGACTTTGATTTCCTAGCATCTGCATATAGTTTGCAATTATTTCAAACAAAGGAGTGCATATTCTTCATCACTGCTCAATGTCATGCTCTGATTTGATGACAATTCAAATTTAATCTCAGTCCCTCACAAACAGAGCACTTTTCCTGCACAAATATTTAACGTTAAACAAAGTTGAATGGAGGGGAGTTAAATTTTCGAATTCTGTTAGCAATCTTTTTAAACCCTTTAGTACCAAGGAGTCCTTCATAAGTAATTTCTACTTACATTATCATTACATTGTCAAGGAAAACATTCATGAGAAGAAAGCTTAAATTTTGAACAAGTGCCATATGAAATTGTGCATAGCATAAGATATTTTGCTGAGAGTATAGCACCACAATGTTATTCATTGCTGGTATTTACTGCATACAGCAATATACATGATACAGAAAGTCTAACAGCAATGCCTCATTACTTACAGAGTCTACCATGTTAGCTATCATCTTTGAACGATATTCAACTGCTGTCCTGTTTCTCTTAAAGTACTTGTACTAAGAAAAAATGAAAAAAGCCATTCAGTGGAAACTGAATTTCACAATCAATAAATGACATGTTAAATGATCCACCACAGCATTAACCATTAACGTTCTCTTTGTTTGCTGAAGGAACTATTATTTATAAGATGGGGGGGGGGGTGAGTGTGTGCATGCAGTTTTTGTATGCCCTCCCCAATTTCTTGCAGAAAAAACCCTCACCCTGCAAACAAAGTATGGCCCCTCAAAAATGATTATTCTCCCATTTCTGATTACTCTCTCCCTGTATTTACACCAACCCTCCACTCCCCTCTAATAACTTTTTCTTTTGTGTTTTGTGTGGTGTGTGCGTGTGATGTGCACATGTGTGGTACCTGACCCTTTAATAAAGTAATTTATTAATAACCTAAGTAAAACTGCTTTATCTTTTAAGCCCTCAATGGTTATAATGGGCAGCCTGAACTCTCTCCATTTTTCATGTAATTTATATATTATTTTTTGTATCATGTAAATAAATGTAGGGTGGAAATAAAGTTGTTGTTGTTGTTGTTGTTGTTGTTGTAGGTACCTTGGACTGACTTACACAGTTGTGGCCTGAATTGATTGAAGTTTTGGAGACTACTGCTAATTGTCCTCCTCCTGGATAGGGTGTTAGTTCCAATACCCATTAACCCTTTAACATCTGAGAGGGACTGGTACTAATTTCTACTAACAATAAAGTGACACAAATAAGGGAAAAGATCTCCAATTTCAGAAGCTAGTGATTGTCCAATAAATTCTCCTTGTCAGTCCCATAATAAATGTGAAGAGAACAGTGCTATTGTATAAAAGTGTTCAACTGACCTGACTACCATCATTGACTATAATTAGCTCCACAAATTTGGTTTCACTCATCACACTTCTGCGAGACTATAGAGACAATCACAAAATTATAAAAAAATCATTTAAAAAAAAAGAGAAATTTTAAATGAAGACACAACAATTGGGCCATACATAAGGTTTGAAACTACAACAACAGAACTATTCAAAGGGAAGGAAAAGATAAAGAAACCTTACCCGATGTTTTCCTAGAGAAACAAAATCCTCCATAGCATGTGTAAAATCAGAATGCGTCACACCTGTCAAAAAACCATTTCCTTTCCTTACTATAATAAATAAATTTATGTCTTTAACATTTCAAAAACTGGAGTTATTTTATAAAGTTTATGGTGACTCTCAATATATGCTTGAAGTCTTAAATCCTGAACAAATCATTTTAATTCGCATAGTGTTAACTTACCACAATGTTTTTTACCAGTTCTCAGGTCTGAAGCACGGTACATAACATGCTGTGTGTGGAGATAAATGGCAAGTTTCACTCAGAGGCATATGAATATTCTAACTAGGTTTAATTTCTTACAATTTATAGAGAAGGTACCTTAAAAATATTTCACAAGTAAAAAAAAAAAAAAGCAAACAAACAAACAGAAAAACAAAACAAATAGAAATGTCTTTATCTAATGCCATTGCATTAAGCAACTGCTATACTAATTACCACCACAAGCCTTAAGAAGAGGTTTTGGAATCCAAACTTCCATCACTTAACCCTTTACACCCTAACATCAGCATCCACATTCTCCATTCTCTTTTGTATACCTTTCTTTTGGTACTGACAAGGAGGATTTGTATAACAATCGAAGCTTCTTAGGTTGGCAATCACTTCTTTTTTTCTCAAGATCTTAATGAATGACTCAGCAACATTACTGTAAGGAGAAATTAGGTGCTGATCACTCTTAGGGTTGAAAGGTTTAACAGGCCAAACAGTAGCAGTAATTAGCAATCATGATGTATGGTGTAAGGAACATGAAAAAGTCATTAAAAACGAACACCATTAATGAAGAACCACTCATAAGGAACTAGAACTTACTCTGTCTGCATTTCCAGGGAATGGTTGAATGTAATATGTCTCATTCCCATCATATATCATTCCCCTGTGAAAGACATTTCTCACAAATTTAAAATGTTTCATCAGATGAGTTTCTCATGGGCTTTTTGTTTGGGCAAGGAACTATTTTTTTTATAATGAAATGATTTACCCTTAGAACATTTTCCAAAAATTAATACAGACATGTAAATCTTCAACACAAATCTGGTTTCATACTCAACAAAATTGCATGACAAGAAAACCATTTCTCAATGTAGCATTAAGATGAGTATGGAAAGTAGAAAGTCTTTGCAAAGCTTCACCATAGCAAGTCAAAAAACATTCAAAATAAAACAGAATCCAACCTAACTGTAACATTCAATATGTCAAAACTATTAAGATAATGAGACACAATGATTTCCCCTTGTCTTCTTTAATTCCTTTTCATTCACCATTACCACTCACTTACTCGATTCCTTGACAAGTGCTAATAGCAACAATTGAGTGCTTCAAGCCTTGAATATTTCCTTGATAAAAACAATTTTCATTTCTCTACAAAAGTAAAATAGAAATTCTAGTTAACCTTTAGTGGTGATCCTGTTCTGTGATATACATTGCATGCAAGTTGCATGTTTGATTCAAAGCAAAAAAAAAACTGAAAGGGAAGTCCTAGTTCACAACATCCTTGATTACCCTCATAAAGCAATGAGACCACATTAATCAAATGGAAACAGTTCAATATTTTTTGACCTTTTACAAGTACCCAAATCTCATCCCTGGTTCTGCAGTGGTTCCGCCTAAACAATATACACTTGTGCTGAGAATGTTTTGCTTTAAATTTTCAAAACCAACCTTTTTTCTCTCTCTTCTATCTTGCATATATTATTTTAAGCTATGCCTCTAGTTCCAATTTATGAATAATCTTAATACTTATGGTCAGTAAAAAAAGATAAGTTGTTTAGTTGACCTTCACCTTCGCTGAGAGCAGATAAACTACACAAAACACACTGCTAACGAATGAATCAAGCTGACATGAAACAAAATTATACAATGGCTATTATTCCAACTGGCACCATACAACACTTTTAATTTTAATACAGTGCAGCAAAATCAAACATTGTAATCTGAAACAACACTTCTCAATTTTGTGTTAAAACATTTTTTTTCATGGATGTTGGATTAAACGATCAAAATATCGTGTTTGGCCACAAGCTGAAGGAAGATCTAACGCAAGCTCAATGTCATGTTTTGTCTCACACCTGTGAGCCTTGGTCAATATGTTAATTAACCTTCCATTTACTCATAAATGACCTGATATGTTACAATTGAATTCTATGAAGGAGGGAAAAAAGTCATATACGCCCTTTTATGTCAGCACAGCAAGGTGATTCCCTGAACTAAACAGTGTTCGATCGCAATAAACAAAATTATCATTGTGAACAGTTATATATTTTAATATAATATTTTTTAAATTAATTTCGACATAATCAAGAAAACAACAGGAACTTCAAGAATTATCTCGTCGAATCGCGATAAATCGGTTTCAAGTCTCATGCACTCTCTCATTTCATGTCATTTCATCGCTTTCGTCGGCTGGTTAGATCAAGGAATCGGACGTCACTTTACACTTTCAAATATCAATTGCGACAACAAAACACACATGTCAAATTAGCCTTCGACAGAATTTTGCATCTCTTTTAGAAACGAGGCTAATCACCCAGGCAAGCTAATGGTATACCGCTCCCTGTTTGAAGAACATGAGAATAATTGCTCGGCAAACAAACTCAAAAGGAATTTTTGTAAACACCTATGTTTGACATGCAACTGTGCGAAGAAGATTAGGCCTTTTGACTTAAGCAAATACCGGGCTATCTCTTAAGAAAACCCCAAATCGCTTTACATGAACCGAAGTCGGCTATGAAATAATCCTAATTAAATTTATTCTGTGAATAGGATGAACAAACCTCATTTTTGGCAATGATTTCTCCACCATCCGTTTTAAAATATCTTGACACATAATTGGCGGAGAACAAAACGCTGTGGAACAAGAATAAAAATTCGATGAGCCCAATCTGTGGGAATATCACGGAACTTTTTAAAGAAGCTTTGCAAAAAAATTAAGATAGAAATCTGTGTTAGACAAAGTAACAAGGCTTACCGGTTTTGTACAACATCTAAGACAAATTCCTTGCCAAATCCTCTAAGGGAAAACGTTGCTCTTCCCAAATGACCACCCTAAAAGAAAATTTGGTCGATGATTCTATTGAAGTGCGCTGCAATTTGCTGATCGCGCGGCAACAGTCGAGCTCCGTAAAGGAAGAATTCAGGAAGTCAAATCAATTTGGGCCCGACAACATGAAACACACAGTTATCTTCAGATCAGAAAGAAAGAGCCATAAAATTGTGTCATCATTGTCTAATATTGGCTCACTCACCGAACTTGATTTCGTTGAAGTATCTCTTGTTCTTCTCGATCGGCCTTGTTGATTAAGGCTTAACCGCGGTGAGACGAACTGGTAGCTTCGCACTTCTTGTCTAAAACTGCTCTCTTTATCTACATTTAGAAGGAAAATAAAAATTAACTTTTAAGTTCATTCAAACCGAAGACAGAGAAATAAAGCTGAGGGATGATTATCATCCTTTACAACCGCGAGGAAATCATTATAAACAGAGAATAAACAGAAAACAGACTAAGCACAGCGTCCAAGCTTTTCTCACCTGAGTTGCCTTGCAGAAATCCCAAGTGCACAACAAGGATTATGAAAGAGATTTCTAACAGATTTAAGCTCGTCATTTATGTTACTAAAGAAAAAACAGCTTCCTCTATAGACGTGACTAAGATACAGAATAATTCGTTCGCGTTTAGGTTGCCTATCCACCGCCCGTGGAGGACTGTCACGTACTTCCTGTCATCGATCGGTGATCAAATTCCTCTATGCGCCCACTGTACTTTAAACTCAGCGGGGCGGGTTCTAAGTGTAAGTGTACCAAAAAATGGCGTTCAAGGATCGATCAAAACTTAACGACGATCTTCAAGAGGCATTACTTCGTCGTAGAGATATACGCTATGATTCTCTTTTAAATAGTAAGAAACTTTGAATAAAATTCTATTGTTTATGTTGTATGATTTACCCAAATACGTTGTTACCTACGATTTTCTAGAGAGGGCAAGAGAAGAAGGAGAAAGACTACTGAGGGAGAATGACCCAGCATCAAAATCTCGAATAAACCCTCATTCTGTGTTTTGGATGATAGCTGCAATAGCTGTGTTCTATTACACGGACTTTTATGTCGCTGTGAGGTTCGATCCACGAATACATAGGTGAGCCAGACAGAGATTTGACTCATCACTATTCATCCCGTAAGACTTATCTTGAAGTACAGGTAGTTTTTTTTTTGTAAGATTATACACCGTGGTTTGACAATTTCTATGTTAAATATAGTCTTTTTTTTTATCTCATTTGCTACGTGTGTTCAACCCTCTCACTCCCAAGATCACAGTAATAGTTTTCCCTACTGTCTGCTATACGATTCTTACTTTGTTAGTTCAAAGAATTTGTTATTGAATCAACTAAAAAAAACCCTAATTGATATTTTTCTTTATTCTCATCACTTGTCTGCTTGATACTGTATTGAAATTTTAAGGAGAAATTCTGCTTTGGTCACACATGGGGGTTAAAGGGTGAAGTAGCGGGTTGTAGAACATCATATCAGGTGCAGCCAGGGTAGTCAAAAGGGTTTTGATAGACCTTAATTCTGACAAATTCTACCCCACAAGATACTTTATACATGCCCTCAAAATTTTAAATTTTGATAGAAAACATCTAAAATACATGCACACAAACCTCTGCTTGTTTACTAAATTTGATAATTCATGAAAAAATGAGATAATTTATACCTGTATTATGCAAAGAAAATAGCATTTACCTTCTACTCTAATCCTACGTCATTTGCATGTATCTAATACCTGTTCCAGGTGCTTATATTTTATTTGCCAACTCCCACATCTCTCTTGTGATTCTGACAACTTTGGATTAAAAACTACAAAAACCACATGATATGCCTGCAAATTATTAACTAGTTTACAGCTATATCATGTGGTTTTCCTTTGACAACCACCTCACAGTCAATAAAGTGGTGACTATTTATATGGTTGTAGGAATTACTGAAAAAGGACAATCAGTGACAGTGACTGAAGCTTAGACAACCTGATTGAGTAGAAATGTCAAATGTCAGACCCTGTGACTTCAATTTTGCTTTTGAGGGTTACCCTCACCTGGATGATCACTGATACCACAAAATAAATTGACAGTTACCTCTGAGAAAAGCCATTAAACAACTTTATGAACTGAAATCCATAAGGGTGACTCCCTCTCTTCCTCCCACTCCAGAGACATATGAAAAGCTTGGGATGAAGACTGGATTTACATATCTTGAAACCTTTGTCAAAACTCTTGCAGGTGCTACGGTATAGGTTGTCTAAGGTGGAAGCTGATGACCAACTAAATGGTTTAAGACAGATGTTCCAAGAAATAACTACTCATGATTAGACTTTGCATTATCCTAAAATCATTGACATAAGTTCACACATTTTTTTTCATTATTCCTTTTTATAATGTCTTTGCATATCAGACTATGGTTGTACATTGGAGGTGCTCTCATAGGATTCAACTTGTGCGTTGGTTGTTACTGTGTCCTATGGCTCAGCTACTATAAGAAGATCACAGATTGGGAAAAGCACTCTCCTTACATCATCCCAATTGCCACTGCATCTTTTATTGTTGGAATGATTTGGTAAGTGCAGATTCTATGATTTCTCTGACAAAGTGCTAATGCTCAAAATATTAGCTTTAGAAACTCTTTATGGTCAAGTGGCCAATTTTTTCAATGCCCTCACTGATTTAACTCTACAGTTTCTTTAGAAGCTCTCCCTTTATTCATTTGTGGGGGGTAAGTTAAATTTCTAAAGAAATTGTGATGCATCAATGGGAGAGTATAACAGGGTAATTTAGCATTATTCAATTCAGTTGATAACATAAATTGGCCACAGCAAAGAGTTTAAAAGCTGACCTTTGGAGCATTAGCTCTTCATCAGAGTAATTTTGTTGTGCTTTTTATTGGTTGTAATAACCAGAGGCATTTCCATTCTCTATAGATTAGAGTAAATCCATTGTTGGTAAACCTTAGTGGTTTGTCAGGTAGTTCCCCTACATTTCGTATTTCGTACAAGATTCCTCATAGGTCTCTTTATTCATTTGTAACAGTTACTGGAGATAATTTGGGTGAGTTCTTTATATAGGGCTGACTTGCATACATTTAAGCTGTGGATTTAATCCTGCTTTTCTTTGGTTTTTAAATGATCTGAAGCATTCCCACTCTCCATAGAATAGGGCATATCCATTGTTGGTAAACCTTAGTAATTTTTAAGGTGGTTCCCCCATAGCTTGGTGGTTCTCATAAATTGTTATTCTTGGATAGAGGGAGGCTCAACAAGACTAATGAGTTTGACTGACAGCACAACACTTTGATCCTGAGTAGGATTCAGACTTTGATCTTTTGATCTTGAGTCCAGCATTCTAGCCTCTTGATTAATATCTCATGTTATTGGATAACTTAGTCACTATTGATCTTAGAATGATAGGTTGAACATGGATAAAGTTTAGAAGGGGGTTGAAAGATCAGGATAGCTAGTGTGGTAGCTGAATCACTATGATTGTTCAAGGTTTTGGGAGAATAGACAGGATGTAAAAGAGGCAGTGATAGTTATTTGCTTGAGTACATTGATCATTGTGATATCAGTCACTTCACTTTCTTTTGCAGTTCCATTTATGCACTCTGGCCTGTGTGGAAATTCTTGACACCTTTTATAACCTTCACAATGTTCATGGGAGTTATTTTTTTAGCAACCTTAATTCCAGTATAACTTGAAATCCTCTCTTTGGAGTAAAAACATTTGATAACCCTTGTAATACTAAGATTGGATAAGATACTCTCCCTTCTTGCCATTGGAAATTTCATTTCATTGTATAGACCTACTTGTAACATCCAAACAAAGTTGCTTATTTCCTTCACCTGAAGTTACATTTTAGCTATTAATCCTTTAACTCCAATGAGTGACCAAGACATAATTTCTCCTTACAATATCAATACAATATCAACCAGATAAGTGATGAGAATGAAGAAAAACATCAATTTGGGGATAATTCGTTAATCCAATGCTAAATTCTCTGAACAAACATTATAAGAATTGTATTGTTGACGGTAAGGAGAATTATAAATTTGATCAGGGAGTTAAAGGGTTAAATTCTCAACATCTGTAGCTAATTCTCCCTTATAGCTGCCAAACATTTCTCTGTAAATTAGTTAGGAGAATGTAGTGTTTAATCAAGGTAACCAACTTAAACCAGATGGGTTTGAGTATTCTCATTTTGTGTGAAAGGGTGAATAGTTTCCAAGTTGAGAGGATCAACTTAAATGGTCCACCTGCTGAATCAATTGAAAACTAGCTATGAATACTTTTTGGAAATACTTTTACAATATCTGTTGGTATTCTAAACAAATTAGCTGGTGATTTCACGTTTTCTTTTTTTTTATTGATAGAAATGCAAACAGACTAAGCACTTAACACAGTTAAGTGTAAAAAGATCTGTCCTTCTATGGACATAAAATTTATTTCCTACTCAAGAGCTGGAATGAGTCCATACCCCTCAGTTTATTACACTAAGTTTGTTGTTTCAACAAGATTTTAAATCGGGTTGCTTCTGAGGAAAAAATGCTTCAAAGGGAATTTTTCCATGTAAAAACTGTCCTTAGCAGAACAACCATTGGAAATATACCCATTCCATTTTTGTATTTATATTTGTAAATATATTGTCCATAAATTTGGAACCTAACTTATTTTACAAGTTGTAACAATTATTGTCTATGTTTGCTACAACTTCAAAGTTTCTCATTAAGATTATCTAGATTTTAACCATGCAAAAGTGATCCACTGACGTGTGATGTATGAACTTTTGGTGTGGGTCAATTTCCACAATCGGTACATCATTGAAGAAAACAGCCTTGCTAGCTATTTTTAGGATTGCGTTGTTTTCAACGAAAGCACTTCAATGAGACTCCGTACGTAAAAGGGGTCAAACCAAAGGTTAAACTTGCGATAGTGTTGGGAATTCCATATAAATAACCTGTACATATGAAATTTACGTAAAAGAACGTAGAGGCAAATACAAGAAAGTCTGGTTTGATTTCAGACCGTTCGAATTTTTCGTCAACCCCTAGAATAAATTTTCAACCCAAATCTACAATGCACAGCAAATTCGCATGCTTCAAAGAGGAAGAAAACTTCATTTTTTCCAAAGCATGACGGTTTGTCCTAAACTTCGAGTTCTCTGGTATGCTATGGAGTTCAAACGCGCAACGTTTGGTAGAAATCAAGTTCGCGTGATTAATAAACTTTTAATATTCAGAGTAAGAATATTTCTGCCGAACTTTCATTATTTTGAAGTGTTGCGGATTTAATGCGCACAACCTTTGAACCACTTCGAGTTGACGTAACCGGTTCTAAAATAAAATTTCCGTCATATGCTTTCAGCTTTCCACTGGAAGTTCTAGTTTTAGCAAATTTAGTAACCTGAATCGATCTTTCGCATTATTGTATGTACAGTTTAAGTGAAACATTTTTATTTCTTTCCTTGTTCCTCTACTTCCTGTGTAAATCCTGGCTCCGTCGAGAACTTTTCATTTTCGTTAAAACCGCTCTTTTTTTTTCATTTGCTTTTGAAAAAAAGCTGTCTAGAGGAGGCACGTCTGACTTCAGAGTGTTGTAAAACTTTTTATATTGCTGTAGCTGCTGTTTCGAGCGTTATTCCTTGTTATGAATGACATATCAATTCGAGCAGCTGTTTCAGCTGAATGTCGGATTATTTTTTCCATACAGGAATAAGATTTGTGGTTGATGAAAATAAATCCGGAATTGACGTGTTTCTTCCCAGTATTAGGTTCTGAAAGCGGTTTTGTAATGAAAGCTGGCAAGGGCTTAAAAAAAAAAACAAAACAGTAAAACAAGACAATGAAAGGGTTAAAAACTACTAATAATGAAAACTGGTCTGGATCTGACTTATGTATTTGCTCACAGGTTAAAGGTAAAAAAGATAATATCATTTGCATGTTCGCCGGTATACATGGACAATTCAAATGGCAGCAAGTTACTTCGTTGTAGCTGTGAAACAACTTCTAAGGAAATGCTCACGACAAAGCCTCTTCAAAGGTAAAGGAAAACGTTAATGTGAGTGACTAAGCCTATCGGTTTAAATTTCTCAAAAGCTCATTAACGCCAACCTGGGTCATTTGAGTAAACGCGGTTTTTATTTCTTTTCACAACCGCAAATCGCACCCGTTCTTAATGTCCATACCACCCCGTTCAACTCTAAAGTTTTCAAATTCATGCTTCAGTCGACTTCACAATTCGTCAGTCATGACTGATTTACATTAATAAGTTAACAACTTGTAGAACATTTAACCTTTCGACTGAAAACTCTTCTTGGTAATTACCTCTTTTGCCTCATGGAAAATCAATAGCCCATTAAGGAAAACGAAGAAGCCGCTAATCTTTCCTTGTGTCACAGGAAGGCTTTGATTGACCCACAAAAGGATCAACATATTGCATATTGAATCGTGTCTTCTCTTTGAAGGGGTGAGCTCGTTTCTCTAACTGGTATTCTTTGAACGTTGTTCATGTCTTTGGGACTAACTGTTGGCGAAGTTCCAACGCCTCCGCTCCTTACTTATTTGAGTGTGCGGGGGTCTTAGAACAACACCTTTTTCGTTATGTTGTCCAGTTACCAGATGAGCGAGGAAGGATTTTGTTAGTCCTTTAATCATTGGTTATCCTTGTTGAAACGGGGTGTGTTAGGACTCATCTCTGCTAAACAAAGTGGCGAGTGGTTGCCATGGAGCTCATACTATGATTGGTGAGAGCCGACAATTTTGTGCCGATTTTGGGAGTGCCCTATTACCTGTTCCTAATTTCTGCACAGCGAAACTTCTGATAAGGGTCACGCATTCTAAGTGACATTTCCAGTCACCACTCCAAAAACAACTCGTTACGACTCGAGAAAACTCTTTGCCATCATCGAACAATCTAAACCAGTTTTAGCAGTTTGTAAGAGGACAATATTCTATCGTAAGAACGTATCTTGGCGAAGAGCATTGTTGCTGCGACGTTTCTCGCGGAGTGTCGCAGGGAGACATAGTGCGTGTCGTTACTAATCACTGACTTAAACTGAGTGGGGTTAAAGGCGCGAATAAATGATTTGCTGTTATCTACAAAGGAGCATCTCTAGATTGAGTATCGTAACAGCAAGACCAAAGTAATCATAGGGACCAATCAAAAAAAGGATAATACCCCAAGGAGCCATTGAAACCTTAAAATAAAAAATAATAATAAAAAGAAATAAAATATCTGCTTAATGGGGTGAGACAGGGGGGTCAGAGTCTCCCGCTTCCCGTACCACGTTCTCCCGCCTCCCGTTGTTTTGTGCCCCTTTGCCTCCCGACTCCCGCCCTTCATGGTGTTGGTCCCGTCGTCAGGTTAATCAAGAGGATCAGAAACCCCGGGTTTAACTTTCAAACTGTGTCAAAACTTAACATTCTTGTTCGTTTTCTGGCCTTTGTTTCAGCGGGGGGATCATTGGGTCCCGATGAAAGTTATTACAGGTCATGACCTATGACGTAATCGAATTGAAGGGATTTCCAAATTCACCGGAATAAATGCTGTTTTTCTAGCCCGAGTACAAATTTACGTTTTCTTGCTTCCAAAATGTTCTTTTAAGCATTGGTGGATGTTAAATGGAAATTTCAAAACTTTGCTAAATAAGTGTTTTTGACTGAATAAAACCCAGTAATAAACAACAAACTATCTCTTTCTTTATTTCTGCTCCTGCTTCCCGCCTTCATATAGATCCCGCTTCCCGCCCTCTCCCGCCCGCCTGTTCTCCCGGGCTCCTGCCCCCCATCCCCTCCACTGCCTAAGGCGCGGGATATCGCGGGTAACCAATTCGTAATTGTATCAGACTGATTAGAGAGTGGCGTGAGTTTTATGGACCAATTGCAAAGCGAGGTTAAGTGAAGCCAGTACAATCGCCGGCTTTTTAGACATTCAATTGAAAACTGCTCTAATCTGAACATCGGTTTACTGAAACTGCTTCTTTGTCCGATTTGAACTTGTAAGAACATCGCAAGTTTCGAGTGATACTAGTGAATTTGGTTTTCGATTGTTCTTAATTCCTGATATCAAACAAAAACTCACTTTTAGAGCAGTTTTCTCTTAAATTCACCGGAAAAGGCCAGATCAAAGTAATCACTACAGCCAATTGAAGCGAAGGTTGACTCCGTCATTTGTCAATTAGAACTCCGAGTTAAAACAGGCATATTGCTTAGGTTTAGGCGGGAAAACGCGAGTGACCAAATCATCGTTAGTTTTAGTTTAGAATCTGATTGGTTGAGAAGATGGTGCGAGTTTTCTGGACCAATCGCAGAGCGAAGTTAAGTTAAATAACGCAATCGTAAATTGCTTTTGACACTCAGTTGAAAATTGTGCCATCAGGCTATTTTGAAGAAGCTGGATAGCTTGTAAAAAATTTCCACTTCTAAGGTCGTTTCGCCTGCGAGTCACCTATGCTTGCGAACTGATCTGAGATGTTTGCAAACTTGTCCTAAGCAAACGACTTGAACGTAGAAAGAGTGGTTACCAAGTTCCTAGATCTTATTTCTCCCACTAAAACTTTAATGACTGAAAAACAACAACAACAAGGGCAGCACTTTATATTTTGTCTATACAAAAATACCTTTATTTTCAAGCAGCCAAAAGTTGTGCGCATATGCTGCGTTTGTAGAATAAAGCTGAAAATATACAAACCAATAAAGAGAAAGCTCCCAGTTGCTCTATTTACACCAAACAACTCAATAATACAAAACTGAAGACTGCGAAGCTACGAAGACTGCGAAGAGGAGAGCAAAACGCTTCTCCTTCTTATGCAACAAAGTATTTGATGAGGTACCGGCAAGAAGACTTTAGCCACCACAGTAATTAATAAAAGTAGTTCGATCATAACGTTGGCTCTTCAAGTGTCAAAAGTTTTTATCAGGAAATATATATACAATAGTTAAGTAGTTCTTTAACCGGTTACCTCCTCATCACTTTGGCAAGAAGTTTTTTTGACTTTAAGTCTCGTTGCATCTGCTGTGTGACTCGTAATGCGACCGTGTGCGTTGCGTGACGACTCAGGTAACGGCTGCGCAAGAAACTGTACTAAAATTTGTAAAGTATATTATAATTAGCTTGGTGCAGTGCGATATTGTTCACTCGAAAACCTATTATCTGAACTTATTACATAACAACTGTGAAAGAGATGTTTCCTAAAATAATATGCACTAAAAACACTCAGTAAAGCAGTGTGGAAATCCAACCATCACACAAGAAAAAAACCGACCACAGGTGATCAGTTTGAGTAAGACAGTCATGAAAGGCGCTACGTCATGTTTGAATTTTCCTTTTGCATTCTAAAAAAAAATTGTCTAAAGACGATTGGCAGTGCATAGCTGAAAAGCTGCGATTCACATCGGAGGTGACAACATCGTAAGACAAGAATATTTTGCTAGGTATACAAAATCTTTATATTCTAGAGAAGACAAAAAAAAAAAAAAAAAAAAAAGGAAAACGACAAAAAATCAAGAGTATACGTAAGTTTACAAATAAAAAAGGTAACTCGGATAAAATTGAAAAACATTTGGAGAGCACCTCTGACTGGACGTAACACCTTGGTGGTTTACACTCCAACTCCAAGAACTGACTAGCATGCAATTTCTCCTTACAACTTCAATAAATTATCTAAAGAACCAAGTGATGAGAAAAGACAAAAGAATCCGCTTGCGGATTTCATCCTGATGAAACATAAATTTCTCTTAACTAATTAGCAAGAAAATGTTTAGCGACTGGAAAGGAGAATCACTAATCATGTCTTTGGAGTTGCAGAGCAAGGGAATAACTCTCAGTGTGAAAAAAAAATTGA